AAAGTTTCTCAGACAGTAAGCCCAGAGGGTGCAGAAGAAGGAGGGGACAAAATGGAAGACAAACCGGAAGTGGGAGTCTCAGACATTTCGCCTGGGATCCGGAGGCCAACCAGCAGCCTCAGGGAGGATCCAAAAACCTGCTCTGGAAGAAATCAGAAAATAGTTTATTTTGAGCCCACCATGGGAGACGTGATTCAAACCCCTGGATGGCCTATTCTCCATGGAAGAGGCTATGGAACTGTAGTCACACCGCAGAAGAAAGTCCTTAACCAATGTTTACTAAATGTATTAGTAGTAATAGAGGGTATGCCTGTGATAGCAAAGCCTGGCAGAGCTCTTCGTGGGCTTCCTGTGTCATCTTACAGCAAGCAGTCTCAGCTGTAAGACTGGTGGGGCCCCTGGAGCCCAGAGGCCCAGCCTGAGTTTACCTGATAGTTATGAGAATGTTAAATCATGCAAAAGTCAATGAAAATGGCGACTCCTGGACCTGAGATAGCATAAGATCACTTGTCTCTCCACCTGCCTTCCACCCCTCCACAATGATTACCTTGTGCTTCCAAGGGCAAACCGTGGACAGACAGAAGTGTTTTTTCAGTCTATGTCTATCTGTTTCTCAGGCTGGTCTCAAACTGTGTACGCAAGCAATCCTCCAGCTCCTACAGAATCTTTAATATGAAGTGGTTTCTGTTAGAATCCATCATGACCATCCCAGGGGACCACTCAAAGGCAGGCAGGCACAGGAGAAAGATTATTATAAGGTTTATTACAGGGGCCATATCTCCACACACCCTCTCCCCTGGGAGAGTGAGCAATATGGTATCTGCCCCTATCCAGGTGGGTAGCTCTGGGGGTAGTAGTGAGGTCCATGAGCAGGTAGGTATGGGCAGAAAAAGAGAGAATAGCCCACGATATGGCAGGAACTCTAGAGCAGGGAGGAGCTCAAGTCTGGGTAGAGCTGAGGACCTGAGGTGGGGATAATGTTAACCGTTTCTGCAGAACTTCAGCTCCTAGGGCCTATGGGGTGAGGGTGAGCAAGGCAGGTAGGCAGATGTTAGGAGACAAGTGAGGGCACCCCGCATGTGGAAAGGAGGCTGTTGCATGGGGTTAGGGTTTAAATATAGGCATCTACTGCCAGGTGCCAGTGGCTCATGCCTGCAATCCTAGTTACCTAGGAGGTTGAGATCTGAGGGTCATGGTTCAAAGAAACAGCATCCAAGCCCCAGTTCAAGCCTTAATACTGGCATGTACACACACACACACACACACACACACACACACACACTACCATCTTCGATGGCAAAGAAACACATGAGGAAATGCTCATCATCCCTGGCCACAAAGGAAAGGCAAATCAAAGTAATTGCGATTCCATCTCACCGCAGTTAGATTGGCCAACATCATGAATTCAAACAACAAATGTTGGCAGAGATGTGGGGAAAAGGGAACCCTTCTGCATGGCTGGTGGGAATATTAACTAGTACAACCACTCTGGACAGCAGCCTGCAGCTTCCTCAAATACTAAATATAGACCTTCCCTAGGATCTAGCCATACCACTCCTGGGCATCCACCCAGAACATCACAAGCCAGGATACCATAAAGACACTTGCACACCCATGTTCATTGCCACACTAGTCACAATACCCAATTGTGGAAACAAACCAGATGCCACACAATAGATGAGTAGTTAAAAAATGTTACCAAGGGGCTGGGCAGGTGGCTCAGTGATACAGGGCTTGCCCTGCATGCATGAGGCCCTGGGTTCGATTCCTCAGCACCACATAAGCAAAAAGAAAAAAGCCAGAAGTGGCACTGTGGCTCAGGTGGTAGAATGCCAGCCTTGAGCTGAAGAGCTGAGGGACAGTGCCCAGGCCCAGAGTTCAGGCCCCATGACAGACCAAAAAAAAAAAAAAAACAGAAACAAAAAACCTTACCTAGACAAAGTGGAATTTTACACAGCCATTAGAGAGAATAATATGTCATTTCTAGGGAAATGGATGTATCTAGAACAAAACATGTTAAGTGAAGTAAGCCAAGTCAGAGATACAACTGCACGTGTTTTCTCTGGAGCCATGCCTCCAGCTTCAGCTCCATTTCTTTTAGAACTATCAGGAGATGGGATTACAGAAATACTTCTGAACCCAGCCTAAGGCTACATAGCATCTTATCAGCAGCTACACCAGAAGGTGTGCCCAGGCCTGTGCTGAAAGGCTTCTCCCAGTACTAACCTACTTGTCTAGGGGAAGAGGAAGCGGCACTCCCAGAGCACAATTCTGCCAGATACCGGGTGCTCACACCTGTAATTCTAGCCACTCAGGAGGTTAAGATCTGAGGAACGAGGCTTGGTAATTCTAGCCACTCTGGAGGCTAAGATCTGAGGAACGAGGCTTGAAACCAACCCACAAAAGACAAATCGATCAGCCTCTTATCTCCAGTTAACTAGCAAAGGGCTGAAGTAGAGATGTGGCTCAAATGGTAGAGCTCCAGCCATGAGTGAAACAGCTGAGCGCCCGGTGCTGGTGGCTCACGCCTGTAATCCTAACTACTCAAGAGGCTGAGATCTGAGGATCATGATTTGAACCCAGCCCAGGTAGAAAAGTCCAGACTCTTATCTCCAATGCACCACCAGAAAACAGGAAGTGGCTTTGGGCTCAAAGCTCAGGGACAATGCACAAGTCCTGAATTCAAGCCCCATAACTAACAACAACAACAACAAAAATTAGAGAGCCCAAAGCACTAAGTTCGGGCCCCACTACTGGTAATATATATATATATATATATATACATAATATATATATATAGTTGGTCTTGGGGCTTGAACTCTGGGCCTGGGCACTGTTCCTCAACTCTTCAGCTCAAGGCTAGCGCTCTACCACTTGAGCCACAGTGCCACTTCCTGCTTTCTAGTGGGTTATTGGAGATAAAAGTCTCATGGACTTTCCTACCAGGGCTGGTTTTGAACCATGATCCTCAGATCTCAGCCTCCTGAGTAGCTAAGATTATAGAAGCCAACAGCACTGGGCAAAACTATTTTTAAAAACCACAAACCCCCACAGTTCTGCCAACTGTTCCAAAGCCCCAGTCCATGCTTGATCTGACCCAGGCCGCTGGCCATGTCGGATCAGAACTAGCCCCACCGCTCCCCTCCCCACGTCCCAGTGTCTGTGGGTCCACCTTCCTCAGTAAGAGTCTGCACCAGCCACCACTGCCGGATGAAACGGGGGCCAGGGCGGTGGGGTCACGTGTGCCTGCTTTCTGCCTCCTCTACCGGGCCCCTAGACCTGAATCCAGGCTGGGAATTTTGAGTCCCATCTGCCTTCAGCACCCAGAATGGAGTCTGGCCCCAGCTGCTGGCAGGAAATGAGGGAGGGGTCCCCAAAAGGCATCAGAGCAGAGCATCCCTGCAAAGAAGGCACCCAGAACCCATCGGGACTCCAGGCTGAGGAACTGGCCACCCAGCCACACCCTGCCAATTCCTCCAGAGGCTTAAGGTCACAAGACCAGAGAGGGCTTCACACAGCTGCCTGGGGCATCTGCCTAGGGCATGGGAAGGGACTGGAACTTTATCACCGGAAAGCAGCCCTCCATTAACCACCACCCAGCCTTGCACAGGACAACCATTCCACTCTCCCCGCCTGCTGCCGGCCCAGCAACCCAGGCAGCCATGCCCAGATCCAGGCTGCTGCTGCTGATTCTGCTCGCCCTGAGACTAGGCAGTCCTGTGGAGTCATCTCAGGTAACCAGGCTTCCCCAGGAGCCACCCACGCCCCAGTCACAACCCCACAACACCGGGGAGGCCAACCAGCAGCCTCAGGGAGGATCCAAA